GTCGTCATAATCATCAGCATCATCATCATCATCAGCATCAACAGCATCAGCAACAGCAACAGCATCACCATCAGGATGATAAGCATCATTATCATCACCATCGTCGTCATCATCATCATAATCATCATCCTCCTCCTCCTCTTCATCATCATCATCATCTCATCATCATAGACAGCAGCATTATTATCATCATCATCATCATCATGAGCAGCAGCAGCATCATCATCGTCATCGTCAGCATCTTTATCATCAGCATAGCATCACCATCATCATCATACCATAACCACCATAGCATCATCATCATCATCATCATCATCATCATCATCATCATCATCATCGTCGTCATCAGAATCAGCATCGTCATCGTCATCACCATCACCATCAGCATGATCATCATCATCATCATCATCATCATCATCATCATCATCATCATCATAATATCAAGCATCACCACCACCAACCACCATCATCAATATCAGAATCATCACCATCATCAGCAGCAGCATCAACATCAGCATGATAATCAGTACCATTATAGTCATCAGTATCAGCAGCATCATCATCAGCATCAACATCACCACCATCCCCATAACCAGAACCATCATCAGCATCATCATCGTCGTAATCGTCAACTGCATCATCTTCATCATCTTCATCATCATCATCATCATCATTATCATAACCCTCCTCATCATCATCCTCATCCTCGTCCTCATCATCGACTTCATCATCATCATCCTCATCATTATCCTCATAATCATCATCATCATCACCATCATCATCATCATCATCATCGTCATCATCACCACCATCATCATCAGCACCACAACACCATCATCATCATCAGCAGCAGCATCATCATCATCATGATCAGAATCACCATCATCATCACCATCATCATCATCATCATCATCATCATCATTAGCAGCATCCTGCTCAGCAGCAGCAGCAGCATCTACAATCCATCACCCATCATCCATCATCCACAGTCCGCCATCCGTCATCCACGATTTATCATCCACACCCCAGCACCAACCACCCATCATCCATCATCCCTCATCCACCACAATCAAAAGTCAACATCCTCATCGTCCTCGTCTTCCTCATCATAACTAGGTTCCTCCTTTTCCTCATGCTCCTCCTCATCCTCCCCCTCCTCCTCCTCCTCCTCGTCATCATCATCATCATCATCATCAGCATCGTCATGCCTCTCCTCGTCTTCGTCATCCGTCTCATCATTATCAGCATCATCCCTCTCCTCGTCTCCGTCATCGTCATCATCATCCTCCCTCTCTTCCTCCTCCCGTTTCTGATTACCGTCATCACCACCACCACAACCACCACTCGTGTTATCATCAGCAGCATCAACATCAGCAGCGTCAATCATAATCTCCTTATCCTCCTCTTTCCTCACTCCTCTTCATCCTCCTCTTGATCATCCTCGCATTCCTCACTCCCCCTTTTCATCCTTCTCATGATCACATCTCTCCTCTCCGTCTCCCCATACGTGCTTTCCTCATCAACCTCCACTTTCTTCTCCTCCTCACCCGCTCTTCTTCCCCCCTCCATCTCCTCATCCCCCTCTCCCGCGTGTCGATACGTCGTGCCTCCGCACGTGTTCGACACGGTCAAGGCTACGTTTTAAACTGAACTTGTTCTGATCTTGGACCGGGGATGGCGTCTGCCCGTAGATGATGGCGAACCAGTAAAATTGAAAGAGCAATACTTCAATAAAGACGCCAACCCATGTAAGATACGCCGTGCAACGCTATGGCAGCTTCTCGCACATCAACCCAACCATTCATTCAAGGCTTAATCAGCCAGCCTTGGTCTTCTGTCGCAGCGGCGGGGGCCACAACCTGGAAACCCAGGCCACCGCAGCCGCCACTGCAGTGCGCACGACAGCCTGACGACCAAGATCTGGGGGCTCAAGCTCGCCCTCCTCGTTGCCTCCTTCCTCTCGTCCTCCTCCCCGTTCTCTCCATCATCAACCTCGTCTTCCCTCTCCGCCACCAGGGCTGCAAGGACGGTTCCACCACCATGCTGCATGTGAATCCTTGTTTTGAAGGGCCCCCGAGCAGGTAGCTAACTGCTCGGCACACAAAGAGTGGTGTCCTTGCCTCACATAATATTTCCCGCCCACTCCACCTCCTCCTCCTCCACCTCCTCCCCCATGCATGCTGCAAGATCTCCGACGACGAAGGACGACGACGACGATGACGACGACGACCACGAAAACGACGGCGACCATGACGGCGACGGCGACGACGACGACAATGACGACGAC